TTCCTCTCCCTCTATCTATTTTTACTTATAGATAGATTGTTCTGGTTCTCTGGAGAATGCTGACTAAAGCAGGCATAAAGGAATCTAGAATTATTTTAAGAATCATCTATAGTCCTTAATGGTCCACACTAATTCAGAGAACTAGTCTAGATGGGAAGCTGGAAGACTGACATGTCTGATGGGAAACAGATTTGGGAGGAGCTAAACAAAAGCAAATAGGTTTCTGTTCGTGGACTTCATCATGCCTGAGGTCCAGGGTCATGTCAATCTGCCAGCACAACCAACATTGCCTATTTGAAAAAAACTATTAGAGGACCACTGAGCAAACAGAGCATAAATGGTCAGTGGACAACACTGACCAATACAGAGTAACCCCATGGGCTGCTTGCAGAGATGGCCAGGAGGTAGGATTCCCTGTGATTGGGACAGGAAGTGGGCCAGTTCTTTCTTCCCAACAAGCAAGTGCTCTTTCTGGCTCTGGCTAGGACTGGGAGGTTGGCCACCGGCTGGACTCCCTCTTCTGGGGGCAGGTCCCAGAATGGATCTGGGCAGCAGAGACTGGATGCAGGCCCCAGAGCCTCCTGCAAGGGGATACACACAAATGTGGATTGACCAAATGTGTGAATGAATTAAGTCTAGAGTTTCTAAGATGCTTCCAAATATCTCTATCACATATTCTCTCATTTAAAACTCAAGGAAACAAAACAAAACCCCCATGAAAACCACGATGTTATTATCTCTGTGCTCATTTCACAGCTGTGGAACCTGAGAGATGAAAGACCTTGCACAAAGTCACATAACTCTTAAGTGGCAGAGTGAAAATGTAAACCCAGGATTTTTTCTTCAGCCTCTCGGATTTTTTCTCTGGAAAAGCCAGTTTGGCTTTTCATTTTATTCATGGGTTAGATTCTGATAACAAAGGGCCCCTGTCACCTTCTGACCTTTCCTCCAAGTCACAGTCCGGGAGACAGCTGCCTAAGGGGAACTTTTTCCGTTCCTGGCAGCTACATCCCCTCCTGATCTCTGAAGCCAAAGAGGACGATCCAGGAGTGGGTGCCTGGTCTCAAGCTTAAAGGCTGTGGTAGGCTGCATATCCAGGCTCAATGAAACCACCATCAACATAAAGACTTCATGTTGTTAGTTTGAGGACTAAAAACCCTAGATACAGCCTTACTACCCAGCTACTGCCTATTTTGCTTCCAATTATTACTAGAACCTAGGGATGATAGGTTAATTGGGAGATGTACAGAATAAAAAAAATGGAGAAAAAAAGTTAAAGTGGAAGAACTGTGCCTGAATTTGTTTGGATGCAGAATGAGAAAGGGCAGGGACAGACAGCAGCCTCTGGCCAACGGGGTGAGCTCACTCAATGTGCTGTGCTGAGAGCAAGCCTAAGTTGAACCGGGCTCTAGGAGGAAGGGATCTGGGGTCCGCTGGCAATATCTGCTGTTGGTTCTGCAGCACAGAGTAGGAACAAGCACTTGCGTCACAGAGAGAGGTTGGTTTTCTGGTGTAAGATTGGGAAAAGGGGAAGAAAGGAAAATCAGTTAGATGCATTTCAAAAAGTAAGAACTAGAAACAAAAGCCTGAAGTGAATGAGTAGCAACAAGAGAGATTTACCATAAAGTTAAGGTTAAATAAGAAAGAATTATTCTTCACAGAGCAGAGCGGGGTGAGCACACCAAGGCGGTTAACCAGCCACTGGGCACAACGCAGAGTAAGGGTGGGTCTCACAAGGGAGGCTTTGCAGGTGATTCCATTCTACATGAAGACCAGAAGCAGACACCACCAGGTAGGGGAGAAGTCCAAGCAATCCCAGCTCCCACAGCAGGTAGGAGAGCTCTGACTGGGAAAGCCCTTCTGCCAGAGACTGCCTCCACACCCCCAGTCCTCAAGGCTGCTCTTGGGCCCCCATCACTGAAAGCTCCAGTCATGTCTAGGGGTTCAAAGCTGGAGCCGGCACCTTGCCAGGTGGCCCAAACAGCAACTGCTTTGTCTGGGGTTGAACATCTGATTCAGCACACAAGAGGCCAGAGGGAAAGGAAGCCTTAAATGCCCAGTGGGTGGGTGTGGGCATGCGTGCGTGTGTGCACACCAGCACGCCACTGCCCAGCCTTGCCTCTAAATGCAGACCATACCTTCATAACCCCTTCTCTTGCCTGGCCTCCCTCCTACATCAGCCAAGCAGCAAAACACAGCCTCCATTCTGCTCAGGAATGTGCTCTTGGAAACTTAATCTAACTGCTGAGACTGGGCCAAATCCCCCATGGCATTAACCCAAAGACAGCACCCCTCTCTCCAGCCCTCCCCTTCCCCCACCCCCCTACCACCTCCTCCAAATTTGGGAGACTACAGTTACACTCCACTGACTCCCTTTTCTCCATGACACAAGCCTCCCTCCCCAACCCGCCTCCCCCTTTAAACCAGCTCTCTTGATTTCCAGCACTTCTCTGGCCTCCTAGTAAGACCCAAACATTTCACTTCTGATTCATGTCTAAATGACAAGCCAATAGTTCTTGGCTTTCAAACAAGACTCACTGGGCTTCTGCACAAGCCCCTTCTTCTCTCACTGTGCCTCCTGGGTTGCAGCCAGACCGTTTCCTCTGTCCTCACTGCCAACTGCAGAGTCCTTCGAGCAGTACAGAAAGAAGTGGCCAGGATTTTTTTTTTTTTTTTAATAAAGGCTATATATTTTCTCTTCTCGCAGATACACCTTGATGTAGAAGAAAGGCTCCAGAATAAATCTGCTGCTCTCCAACTCTCCCTTCCTCCAAACAATAAAAGGTTTAGCCTGGTTCCTAATGAAGCCAAATGAATGGGTATGAAGGTAGCTTGCATCTTCACAGACATGTCTGACCATTTGCAGATGAAATCTCCCTCCTAGATGAGCAGCATTATCCTTGGAAGGCTCAGAGGTTGCCGAAAGGCACATCTATTTATAATAATAAATAATTGGAAGCCAACTAATTGCCCAGCAATAGGAAAAGGGTTCAACCTATTATGGCACAGTCATTCAAGGATGTTCCAGAGCCATTAGTAATTGTGATCATGCTGGGGCGGGGGCAGGCTGGGGACAGATGAGGATGGGGCATGCAGGAACCCGCTGCGGCAGGGTTGCATGGTGTATACAAATGAACAATGCAGCTGGCTGTTTACTTAGGATGAGTGCACTGTGCACCTCAGATGCATTTTACACTCAAAAAAAAAAGAACAAATTTTCATCATATGACCAATAGAAAATGCTTATTCTACAATGTCAAGTGGGAGAAATAAAGTTAGAAATGGCATTTTCACCAGTATCATTAAGTATTTTAAACGTATGCGCGTGATAAGAAACAGGAAGCATGTATTCCAAAATGATAATGGTTGTGCGAAGATGGTGGGCAGATTGGGCACAGCATTGTTTCTATGCAATCTGTATTTTCTGTCATGCCATTTTGCATTCTCACTTACAAATAGAAGAGAGGCAAATGATAATGAGAAATATAGCTCAGACCTCTGACCTCTAGATCACTTGCTATGGTGAGATCTCTCTTGCCCTTCCTCCCACCCCACAAGCCCAGCTAGAGGGAGGGGAGTGGGGGACGCAGCACGTCCCTGTGCGTGTCACCCTCACAGGCTCACAGCCTATTCCCCAGAGCCTTCAGATTCAATGGGTGCTCCTCATGTGACAAAGAAAGCAGCGCCCACTGTGTGGGGCCTACAAAATGTAGTGCAGGCTTGGCCTGATCCTCCAGGAAGGGGCTGGGGACCCCTCTGCCTTCTTCCCTTCTCTAGTGCAAAGCAGCACTGCTTGACTGTTTCCTAAGAAAAGGGGACTGCTGCTAGAGGTGTCATCCTGTCGGCTCAGGACTGAAGGGTCCCACCTGACATTGTACAATAAGCATTTTCCCCTCCAGGCGTCAGGCAAGGGTCCTTCTCTCCTGCTTGTCCACATCCCCATATCTCCCACTACTCTCCTCCCAGGACTCTTGCCTCACACAACCCAGTACAGAGGCAGACTTGCACAGAGGAGAATTTCAGAAGTTTGCTATCTTAGGCAAGACCCGTACAAAAGGACCCTCAAGCTTCTGGAACCACATCAGCCATGATAGGGATGAAAACAACAAAGGAGCAAAGCAGGGCTGTTGGGGGCACTTCTGAGCCATGAGGAGCATGCTCTAGAGTGTTAGCCTCCAGAGTCAGCATCTCAATAAGCTGCTCTCCTACACTCTTGCTCCAGAAAAGGGGAGGCATCTTAGTCCTTCCGGCTGTGGGCTCAGCCTTCAAGAGTGGGCCCTGGGACCAATCTGCAGCCTTCTGGGGATACTTGAATCCGTCAGTCTCATTTCCCCATATGTACAGCGAGGAGAAACTGGATCACAAGTGCACTGGACACAGCACCACGGGGTGCCCACGCTCTATTTACATCTCAGACTAGTGCGCAGTCTTCTCCCAGCATGTCCTGGGATTAAAACGATTCTCACATCTCCTCCTCTATCCTCTTTTTTTCCCCTCTATCAGTTTGTCATTGTGTTGTCTATATTCCTGGCATTTGGAATACGATGGACCCTTACAGAGCGATAGGAGATAGCTGAGTGTGGGATGGGCAGGCTCTGCCACAACCCTATAAATGTACCCACTGGAAGGACAGAGAATGGGGGCGGGTATGAGCACCTGGCCCCCACACACCTAAGCCACAGATGGACACTGTGGAATGGGCTGGCTGCCCCAGCTCTGGGGCCCACAGACCAGAGGCAACCTCAGCAAAAGCCCTGATCCTTCACTCTTTCTGGACACTCCCGGCAGACACTGTCCCTGCTCAGAGAGCAGCTTCCCAAAGACCAGGGGTTCACACCACTGGGGACTTTTGGGGCAGCTACCAGTCTCTGGCTTGAAACTTCAGCTTTAAAAGTCACTCCTACAGTAAGACTAATGACTGGGGGTAAATTGTGGGGGTGCAAGAGAAAATGGGAGAGAGGATGAGAGGGCACCATCGCAGAGGAGAGGAGTGTACTCACTGGCTAATGTCACCGTCGCTGGCACGCTGGCCACAGCCCCTGCAGGCATCCGGGCCACACACTGGTACCGGCCCACCGTGTGGTTGTTGAGGGCAGTGATGACGAGGGTCCCGCGGGTGATGAGGATGCCCAGAGGCTCCGCAGAGCCATTCAGCTCCTTCCCGTTGAGGCGCCAGGTGGTGTCCATCCAGGGGGGCTCCACCACACAGCCCAGGATCACAGTGCCGCCGAGCTTCTGGACAGTGGACGGAGGCTGGACAGTAACCTGAGGGACCTCATCTAGAGAAGGACGGGGATGCATCAATGACGTGACCCCCAGGAAACCAACCACGTGACCTTTTTAGAACCATTGCACCCAGGCAGCCTGTCAGCTGGGCAACCCTGAGGAGCTAATCTACTGTCCCCGGGCCCGTTCTCAACCTGCCCTCATTCCTGAAAAGTAGCATGGGGTTGGTGTGGCAGTGTGGTGCAGAGGCACGAGCTCAGCTTGGGGAGCCAGACACACTTGGACATGAAAGCCAGAGCCTCTGTTCTGAGCCATGTGACTTCAGCCTTTTGAGTCGTGGCTCTTATCTGCAAAATGAAGCCAATGATACTTGTCTCACAGGGCTGTTATGAAGCTTACAAATAATCATGCAAACTGCTCGCCACAATCTCATATAGAAAATGCTCCCCAAAAGGTAGTTATCACTTCTCTGTGCTCCTCCCCCTCCCTCTGGCTTATATTTGAAATGTTGAAAATCTAAAACTATAGCCAATAACACTGTAGAGATCATTTCTCATCTTATGCTATTGAGCAGGCCCCTGGAGGCCAGTGGGAATGAAGTGCTCTTTCAAATCAGTACTGTAAAATGCTAATGCTTCCATTTGACCTTAGGGCTAAAGCGATCTTCCAAGAGGGGTGAGGCAGAGAGGGAAGGACAACACTCACCTAAGTTAGCAAAGCAGCCTGTTGTGGCTAAGAGGAGGCAGGCAAGTGTCACCTGAGGCCTCTTTCCTCTCCCAGGTGCCATTTTCCCACACAGCATGGTTGTCACAGGGGGCCCAAAGTCCCATAGGCCACCGAAGTCACTTAGAGTGATATGGAAATTCCCTGCAACTCTGTGGTGAGAAAGAGAAACGGCCATGGTGAGAATGCCTGGGGGTCCCAGGTGGAATGCTCAGGGCTGACTGTCGCCCCCTCTGTGGTCACTTATGCAGGTGATATTCAATTAGGGACCTGCCTGTGTAGCTGGAAGACCAAAGATCACACCCATGATGTTCCTCATGTACAAGCAGCTTTTACATGACTTCTTACAAGGCAACTGAGTAGGCAAGTCGTCCCTTTGAGCTAGAAGGTGGCTTGGACTAGGTAAGAGTGCTAGAGCCCTGCCCAATGCATTGACAAGGAGGGGGGCCCTGGATAGGCAGGCCAAGGCTGTAGCCAGCACCCAGGTTCGGGCAGTGAACAGCTAGCATGGATGTTGGAAGAATGAACTTGTCATTGCTACTTGCTTCCAGAGTGCCAGCTGCTCATGGCCCCACAGCACACCATGCTGCCAGAATGGATTTGTGGAGGGCTCTCATGCATGTACAGCATGCTAAACCCCCACTCAGGGTGTCACTAGATCACAAATCCTAAAGATGCAGAAACTCATGAAAGGTCCATTTGACTCACCCCTGCTCTATGACTACATCCCTGTGAGTTCTCTGCATCCTGCACCAAGATACCCTCTCAGCTTGTCCACAGCCTCTATGCCTGAAGCACCCACAGACCAAAGGCACACACTGGCCGTGGCCTCCCACCTCCTTACGCGCGTGTCTTATTTCTACATCATTCACTGGCTTCCACGTGTCTCTCTGTGCCTGGTGTTGGAACTGTTCTCCACTTCTATATCACCTATATTCTTGCTTATTGCCTGGGTTGCACCTCCACCCCAGAACATCATTATTCAGGGGTTCTAGACTGCATTGTATGACAGCTACTGGTGTTGTCTCTCATCTCCGTCACCTTCCTGTTTGCCAGGAACTTCACTCTTCCCCTTGCATTGCATTATTTCCACATGCTATCCTGAAGTGGTGGCCCTAAAAACATTCATCAAAACCACATGGAGGCAAGTATACATTTTAACACACACCACTGTCACAGCCTTTGAAACCATGATTATGCTTCTATGTTTTCCACTGCTATACTAGTCCACTAAGAATACCAGGTGCATCAATGTTTTTTACAAGGCAAGGAGACATGAGAATGATCTTTGGATAATGCTGAAGGTAGCTGGCAAATGAGCTGGACCAGGGATACACCTTCTTGAATTGTGCATATACAGCAGTATCAATAGTGAAATGTGAGTTCTTCTGGACCAGTTTATCTAACCACCGGCTCTGTAAGAGTTACATTCCTCACTGAGAAATCAGGAGCAGTTTACGCTACTCAGCTATTGCCTTGCCTATAAGAGCCCATCTTCCACCTGTCGATCTCAGCTCTCCTGACCTGGGGTGTTTAAGGGTGGGGTACAAGGCTGTTGCTCTATGCTGGCACATGCTTGACATTTGCCTAAATGTTCCCTTCTCTGTCCCTGTGGCCTCAGCTATCCACTTGACTATGGAGGGTGTCAAGAATGCCAGGCTCTTTCTGCTGACAAACATCCCTCCAGACCAGATAGGACTCCGGCCCCACAATGAGGTTCAGAGTGTTTTCCAGGAGAGAGTGATGTTATTTCTGGGTTTCCAATTCAATTCCATTGGTCTGTATGTCTTTCTGTCCCCATACCATGCTGCTTTTATTATAATGACTTTGTAGTGTTGCTTAAAGTCTGGGTGCATAATGTCTCCATCCTTATCCCTTTTAATCAGAAGAACTTTCACTAATCTGGGCTTTTTGTGATTCCATCTGAATTTCAATATTTATTCTACTACTTTGAAGAATATCATTGAGATTTTTATTGGAGTTGCACTGAATCTATAAACTGCTTTTGGTAGGATGACCATTTTTGCAATGTTAATTAATCTAATCCATGAACAGGACAGGACATATCTTTCCATTTCTATTTCTTTTAACAGCATTTTGTAGTTTTCTTGTAGTTTCTACAAGAAAATAAACCTCCTTTCTTATGTTTATTCCCAGGTATTTAATATTTTGGGCACAATTATAAATGGGATGGTTTCTTAATTTCTTCCTCTTGAGACTGTTTTTCTATAGGAAGGCTACTGGTTTCTGTGTATTGATTGTGTAACCTGTTACTTTACTAACATGGTTTATTTTAATTAGTTTTTCTGTGGCTTTTTAAAGGATTCTCTATATTAATATTATTATATCATCTACATATTAGTTTCACTACTTTTCCTATTTGGGTCCCTTTAATGTCTTTCTCTTGCCTAATTGCCCTGGCTAGAACTTCCAGTACTATATTGAAAAGCAGTGGCAAAAGTAGGTATCTTGTCTTATTGCAGATCTTAATGGGAAGGCTTTCAGTTTTTCACCATTAAGAATGATGTTAGCTGTGGGTTTATCATATATGGCTTTTAATATATTAAGATATGTCCCTTATATCCCAAGTTTTTCAAGGGCCTTCATCATAAGTGGATGTTGGACTATATCAGATGCTTTCTCAGCATCTACTAATATGACCATATGGTTGTTATTTTTCTTTATGTTGATGTGGTGAAATACATTAATTGATTTTTGGATGTTGAACCATCCTTGTGTCTCTGGAACAAATTCCACTTGGTCATGGTGTATAATCCTTCTGATGCATCATTGTACTTGGCTTGCTAGGATTTTACTGAGGATTTTTGTATCTGTGTTCATTAGGAGAGACTGGTCTGCAGTTTCATTTTTTGTGTATTGTTTTTGCTTGGTTTTGATATTAGTTTAATGTTGGCCTTGTAAATATATTTGGTAGTTTTCCTTCTCAATTTTTTTTGAGAGTTTTGTAGGCTAGACACTAGTTCATTTTTGAAGGTTTGGTAGAACTCACTTGAAAGGACAAGCTATTTTTTTCCTAAAGTGGTTTGAAATAAAATTTTAAAAGAAGCTTTTCCAAATTCTTTTCTACAAGTTAGAACACCTTCCTATTTGTGGAGACAGTGAATATTTGCTCTTTTTCAGAAAATCTAGTAAATCAAAGGTTCACAATATAGCAAAGTGAAATTAAGGAAAGCTGCAAATGATGTGAATGTGGCTGGCAGGGCAGTGATGAGAGGTGGTTGTGCCTGCAACTACTGCAGGTACCTTGGCACGAGGTCTTTTCATCTTCATTAAAAACCCTCAAAGGTGGGGGCTATTATCCCATTTACAGGTGAGGAAATTTACTTCCAGAGGTTCAGTAACTTGTCCAAGGTTGCATACTGTAGGTCTGGAATGAAATCCAGGTTGGGCTGATTCCAAAGCTTCTCTTTCAACCACAATAATAGCCTTTTTACATTTTTCCCTCTCAGCACTTTGCACCCAGTGGGTGTTTAATAGGGTTGGAATACGTGTAATCTAGAACAGTACGGAATTTTAACAGTGATTTCTAGAGAAAAATTCATTAACATAGTTACAAACCAATCCCAAAGGACAAACTTTTGGGGTGGTCTTTTCATTTTCCAGACATCTGTTTTAATCCTCTAATTTTTTTTCAATGAAACAACATTTGTATAGAATACTGCATATATTCCTAATTATAGAAGCTTAGGGAATGTGCTTTTTCAATGCATGATTCAGTTTCCAGCTCTTTGAGATTGCTGACACCTGTTCCTTCCTTGGCCCAATGAAGGAAGGGAGGGGGAGGAAAGGGTTAGGGAGGCAGAAACTGGGTACAGAGCAATAAAGAAGACAAGCAGAGAGGGACAGGAGAGCTGTTTCCTATCTGAACACAAAGTGGCTACAGAGGTGTTTGGGTTGTAAAGTGTGCAAAGGTTTTACTGAGGAAATTCAGCCCAGACCCCCTCCTGCTTAATGAGGACCAGCCAACCAATTCGTTACTTCTGCACCTTCGGTAATTCAGAAGGTTCCAAATGGAAACAGACCCCATGACTGATGCCAGTCACCATCCTGTTTTTTAAAATCAACAAGAAGAATGAATATAGCTTGGGAAGGAGGAGAGAAAGAAACCAGGTATCCAGAAAGGAAGAAAGAAACTCATGATTCCCCACGACAGAGTTGTGGGGAGGTAGCACTTAATGACCTTCAAAGCAGGACATGTGGGTCTCAGTTACATAAAAGCAGAATTGCAGCAAAAATATGGGTGAGACAGCTGCAGATATGTGCTTCTTATCTAGGGAACCCAGTGAATTATTCTGGGCCAATTATCTAGTGAGGTTGGCCTAGAGAAAGTTCTAGAAATATAGATTTCTGAGGACTTTATTTTAATGATAAAAAAAGGCAAGCAGGTTTAATTGGAGTATATGATTGCAGCCTAATGTGTACTATGAAAACAACAAAGTACAGTCTCACGTTGAGCAAAGGCAACAGTAAGGCCTGCTATTTTTCTTAGCGATGAAAAGTATGTCTAGGTCCTTCTTAAATTCTATGCATTTTCTCAGAAAGAGTAGAAATTTTTTAAAAATCAAAAGCAGAAAGAAAAGCAAATAAGTTCCTATTATGAACTCATCGAAGCCTAGGTACTTACTATTTGAAGGCCTGTTTCAAAACAGAAACGAAAAACAGAAAATGTGTCTGAAAGTTCAAGTGCTGACATACATACTCCCCACTAAATAAAACATTTTTGAAACTTTCCAAAAACAACAGAATATGCTTCTGCAGTTGAAACCAGGCATGAGAAGTTATATCCTCCCAGTATTTATTTTTTGAGAAATTACAAATAACTAAGTTTATCATTGGCAGGAGCCCAGCCCCACCATCTCCTAGTAGGGTTGACTGGTCGGAGTGAGACTGTGGCACTGAAGGCCACATCTCAGCCCTTGGTCGGTCACCCAGGCCAAGCAGCTCTCACACCAAGGATGGACCTTGAAACAGAAAGCACACCCTTTAGATGGTCTATGGCCAGTGCAAAGATGAGCTAAAGAGGAAAAAGTGTGATGATTTGGCAAGAACCTTCTAGCGGTTAAATTCGAGAGTTATCAAAAGTCTTTTGTCCTATTGATTGAGAGGGGCTAGCTCCACACAAAAAGATATC